CTCTGCTGCCAACTGCTGAAACAAGCTGGGGACGGAGACAAGGGGGTACCTGCACAAGAGGTGCAAGGGCCACATGAAATGGCCTGGAGGGCCAGATTTGGTCCACGGGCCTTGTGTTTCACACCTGTGGCTTAAGGCCATCAAGGAAAAAATGCAGATTTTATCATGTGTGCAAAAAAATTACAAAATTGTCCCAGTAGACAGCTGGTTAATGTGGGGAAAGGGGAAACCTTCTGTCAGATTTATTTCTTTTATCTCTGTCATTGTTGGGGAGAATTCAGCACACTTCCCATCATGGTGACCATGCAGCAAGTGAGGACAGACCCTGAGGACATATATCAGCAGAGGGGCTACATGACTTGGTCCCCAAGAATGAGTTAAATATTTGTGTAGAAGCAGTAGACCTTGATTGGAGATTGAGGGTCATGTGGTAGGGAGGACCTGCAGGGGAAGAACCTGTAGGAGCCGCTGGGAGATCATTTCAGAATGTCCATGAAGGAAGAAAGTTGTCTCACCCGCCCTGCCTTGTTTACTGTCGACAACAGATATGGATTTTTATGTGATTGTCATGGTGGCTTGGTGGGTTTAGGGGGTCTTTGAAAAAATAGGAGGGCTACCAAGTTTGGAGTTCCTCTGGTGGTGTAGTGCTCTCCACTGGTGCCAGATCGTTGTCATGGGAAAGGTGGAAATAGTCAATTCTGGAGCAGTCCTCGAGCTGGTGGGCTGTGGTTGGGGACGAGGGTGGATTTTAGTAAGACTTTCTGGCAAGGAGACACCAAAGAACTCTTTTCATAAAAAAAAGTCTATATGGTGTTTGTGTTTTATTTGGTTATTAATTGTAACCATTCATTTTTATAGTTAAAGGGCTGTTGTGGCCATTTATATCCATGTCTCAGACTCTGTGTGTTCATTAAGAGTTTTGACAAGAGGGCAGAAAATAACAATGACATCAATCATACGAAATTACACCAACAAGTACACAGACAGCAGTAACAGCCGGAAAGAGGTTCTCAACCTTCTACCACTGTCTGTGCTTCCATTTTGCAGATTTTGCTCACTTCTTCTTTAGGTACCAACACAGAAAGTGAGAGGGGAATAAAAATCTAACAGAGGTTCTCCTCAAACCTGGCAGAGGTCCTCATCAAATCCAGAAAATGTTCTTGTAAAAAACCCAAGAGAGGTCCTCATCAAACCCAGGAGAGGTTCTCATAAAACTCAGAAGTCCTCATCAAACCTAGGAGAGGTCCATATCAAACCCAGCAGAGGTCTATGTAAAACCCAGGATAGTCTCTCATCAAACCCAGGAGAGGTTCTTATAAAACCCAGTAGTGGTTCTCGTAAAACCCAGGAGAACTCCTCATCAAACCCTGCAGAGGTTTCCATAAAACCCAGGAGACGTCATCATCAAACCCAGGAGAGGTCGTTATCAAACCCAGGAGAGGTTCCCATCAAACCCAGCAGAGGTGCTCATCAAACCCAGGAGAGGTCCACATAAAACCCAGGAGAAGTCCTCATCAAACCCAAAAGAAGTCCTCATCAAACCCAAGAGAGGTTCTCATCAAACCCAGCAGAGGTTCCCATCAAACACAGCAGAGGTTCTTATAAAACCCAAGAGAAGTCATCATCAAAATCCAGGAGAGGTTCCCATCAAACCCAGCAGAAGTTCCCATCAAACCCATCGAAGGTCCACATTAAACCCAAGAGAGGTTCTCATAAAACCCAGGAGATGTCCTCAGCAAACCTAAGAGAGGTCCTCATCAAACCCAGAAGGTTCCCATCAAACCCAGCCGAGGTTCATTTTAAACCCAGGAGATATTCCTATCAAAACCCAGAAGAGGTTCCCATCAAACCCAGCAGAGGTCCACATTAAACCCAGGAGAGGTTCTCGTAAACCTAGGAGATGTCCTCATCAAACCTAAGAGAGGTCCTCATCAAACTCAGCAGTGATTCCCATCAAACCCAGTAGAGGTTCTTATAAAACCCAGGAGAGGTCATCGTCAAACCCAGGAGAGGTTCCCATCAAACCCAGCAGAGGGTCCCATCAAACTCAGGAGAGGTTCTTATAAAACCCAGGAGAAGTCCTCATCAAACCTAAGAGAGGTCCTCATCAAACCAAGCAGAGGTTCTTGTAAGACCCAGGAGAGTTTCTCATAAAACCTGGCAGAGGTTCTCATCTTTCCCCACTCTGTCTAAAACTAGGAAATGACTGACAATCAAATTGAGTAACAATTGTACTTTGTGTGGACACATTGGTTATACTCACATTACTCTCCTTCATCTTATTCACCAGTGCCCTGGCCTGGTTTGGAGTGTTCCTGAGAAAGGACAACATCTTATCAATAAAGAGAACCTGGTATTTGGTCAAAGTGTCTGTTATCCTTAACAATAAATGTCTCTTATTTCTTCCCTTTTGGTCTATTAAATACTCCAATTAAAGCTTTTTGTTATATCAGTTTGATAACATTTACCCGTTGATCCTGCCAGAAATCCAGAGCACTCATGTGTTCTGTGTTATCCCATAGAGAATATTGACCACCCCCCACCAGTTCTCATCTTGAACTACAAATCAATTAGTTACTATGCCGCGGATAACAAGACAGTTAAAGTGGTTGGAAAATTTTGCAAAAGACAATGGGCAGGGCTGACACCAAACAAATGCTGTCAACCAGAGGCATAACTAGAACCTCCAGGGCCCCGGTGCAAGAAGCCATAAAGGGCCCCCCTGACCAAATCCAAGGGCCCTTGCCACTGGTTCTGGGGACTGATCCAAGGCCCTTTACTCCTGTTGCTGGGCTCTTTATTACGGACCCACAGCAGGACCCTTTCACATGTTCTGCAGCGGGACCCCTTCCTACATAGTTGCCAACATTTCCAAGAAATGTTCAGGGACACCTTTTTTTTCTATGTGTTCAGGCAGCCATTGTAGACGAAGAACGAATCTTAATTAGGGGTGGGGCATTTAAATAGGTGTGGTTCTAATGCTATACCCCTTTGCACATCTCTACACCCCTTGGAATGCATCCGAACCTCTCAGCACGCCTCTATACCCCCTGAACATCTCTGTACCTCCCAAATTACCCCTGTACCCCCAGCACACTTCTGTACCTCTTTGCACATTGCTGTACCTCCCAGTATCCTCCGTACCCCCCCAGCACACCTCTGAAACACCTAGATTCCTCTTTATCACCCAGTATGCCTCCATACCCCCAGCAAGCCTTTGTACCCCCCCAGCACACCTCCACCCCCCCTCACCTCTGTACCTCCTAGAATCGTCTTTATCCACCAGTATGCCTCCATACCCCCAGCAAGCCTTTGTACCAGGGGCGGACTGACCATTCGGGCACTGCCCGAGGGCCCGGGGTAAGTAGGGGGCCCCAGTAGATACCCCTAGTACCTTTCATAGGCCTTTTTGGGTGTGGTTTGAGTGTGAGCGAGGACACAGGGGTCCTATGATCCCCTATTGCCCGGGGGCCACATGAGTTGTCAGTCCGGCCCTGCTTTGTACCCCCCCCAGCACACCTCCCCCCTCCCCCCCCCCACATACACACCTCTACCTCCTAGAATCATCTTTATCCACCAGTATGCCTCCACACCCCCAGCAAGCCTTTGTACCCCCCAGCACACACTCCACACCCCCTCCCTCCCCCCCTCACCAAACACACACCTCTGTACCTCCTAGAATCATCTTTATCCACCAGTATGCCTCCACACCCCCAGAAAGCCTTTGTTACCCCCCCCCCCCCACACACACACACAGACACGTACCTCTGCACCTCCCAGCATTCTCTGTATTCCCCGGCACATCTCCACACCCCCCAGCACATCTATGTACTCTGACACACATCTCTGCACCCCTCACACCTCTGTACCCCCAAAACACACCAATGTACCCCCACACACACACACCTCCCAGCATCCTCTGTGTCTCCCCAGCACACCATTGTACACAGCAGCAAGTAATCTATGCACCCCCCACACCCCTAACACATCTCTGCTCTGTACCCACTTGATGTTCACCTCCAACCCCAGCACATCTCTGGGTCTTGCCCCCCCACAATGGCAGTATGCCAGGGCCCGCCCCTGCATATATATATATATATATATATATATATATATATATATATATATATATATTATTATTATTTTTTTTTTTTTTAAATATATTGAATATGGACAAAGTTGTGGTATTTCAAATATATGTCAATATATTTGGGAAGAATATTTTAAAAATATATTTAAAATATATTTTTCTTCCATGTGGGAAGTAAATGCTGCTGTAGTTATTGCTGGATAGGGGGAAGATGCGCTGTTGAGAGAACACGTCACCGCCGGGAAGGGGAAGATGCCGAGTTAGGCCCCACCCACACGGGCCGGGTGCTTACCCCTGGGTGCACGGGGCGCTATACATATTATATACATCTTGTATATTCTTTCACTTACTCTGCCTTGGCTCCGCTAACAGCAACATTAAACATTTCAGTGTCCCGGCCGATCCCGGTGGAGAATCCCTTTACGTTTGGATTGAACTTCTTCAAGATGTCTTAAAATGAAATTGAGAAAAAAAACAATCACAAATAATTCAAAAAAGATACATTAAGTTTCATTTCAATATCAGAACCCTCTATGAAAGAAGATAGATAATACTTACCAGCCTCAGCCCCCAGTCTTCACTTATTACAGAGCTACTCTGGCCGGAAAGTGTTGGATGCCTACGCCCCCAGACTGTACAATGTGGCTCCACCCATGAGGAACTACGCCATTGAATCCTGCAAATCTGTAACATTGTGGATGGAACCATGGCGCACATGGGGGGGTTGCAGCCATCTGATACACCTGAACTGTCGCATATAAAGAGTCTATTGGCTTTGTAGCTTTGCAAGTGAAGACTGGAGGCAGGGGTGGCAGCAGGGGCGGACTGACCATTTGGGAACTCGGGCACTGCCCGAGGGCCCGGGGTTAGAAGGGGGGGCCCCATGAGATGCCCCTGGTACCTTTTTCATAGGCTTTTTTGAGTTTGGGCAAGGACACAGGGGCCCCATGATCCCCTATTGCCGAGGGGCCCCATGAGTTGTCAGTCCGCTCCTGGGTGGCAGTATTATGTCTTTTCTTTTACATGGTCTTTTTTTTTTAGCACCTTAAACCCCAAATTAGAGGTATTTTTTGGGTAAAAATGTACTCCCCCCCCCCCAAGCCAAAAAAAGCTAAAACACCTTTGATCTAAATTTGTCCCCCACAGTACCTCTTTTCAAACACAAGATGTCCTCAGTCTTTCCATGTTGAAAGGCACACATCCTCTGTCAAACCAGAAGACTGAGGGCTGTACTGTGAGTGCATAATGTCCAGGGGCGGACTGACAACTCATGGGGCCCCCGGGCAATAGGGGATCATGGGGACCCTGTGTCCTTGCCCAAACTCAAAAAAGCCTATAAAAAAGGTACCAGGGGCATCTCATGGGGCCTCTACTGACCCCGGGCCCTCGGGCAGTGCCCGAGTTTCTAAATGGTCAGTCCGCCCCTGATAATGTCTTGGTCCCACCCCTGAGGAGGCATCACCATAGCACCCTTCACACTGTACAATTGTAAAGAGTGGTGCTGAATTCATCACATCAGTTAGCATTTAAAAAAATGTTGGGGAGCCTTTAGGCTAGGTTCACATGCGGGTAGTGCCGCTGCGGATCCACACGAAAATCTGTGCAGCCGCACCACCCACACAGTGGAATGCGGACCCCCGGGCGGGTGCCATTAGTTCTAATGGTTCACCACCGGCACTGGAAAGCGCAACCATACCAGGAACCGAGGTTCATGTCCTGGCTGCGTTTTCAGAAGAAGTGAAGGGACTTTTTCTCTGCATGTCACGGGGCACGGGAGTCCATTCAAATGAATGGGCTCTCCTGCCCACGCAAAACGCATATATGTGACCCAGTGCTTAGGAAGGGAGGTGGTGGCCTGGAGGGAAAATGTGGAGCCTGGAGTTGGGCTTTAACCAAAAACTGATTTTACACCTCTGGGACTGAGCTGGAGATATCTGTACACCCGCTGTGACACTTGTTGGACGGTCCCTGTATTTTTTGTGTTCCTCATACTGTAAGGAACACAAAAGAGAAGAGTGGATGCACCCAAAGGGTGGTGGGATCACAAAACGCCAAGGTGAGTGAGGGGAACAGAACTAGAAACTACAGCATAGTGGTCACCGTCCAAAACAAATATAAGACCAGTGGTGTATTTAGGTTTTGTGTTGCCCTAGGCAACATAAAAATTGTCTGCCCCCACGGACACCGACCAACACAACCCCCCCTTCCCCTGCCTGTGGAGAGAGCCTGACATTGACCAACAACACCCCTGCCCCCCACCTAGGAGAGTGTTCCACTACCCCCCACCCCCTGGTGATAGAGAGACACTCATCTCCACAGCTGTCAGGGCAGGAGCTGAGGAACGGACAGGCAGGCCTAATAACAATGTAACGCACTGGCTGACGACAACCACCACCCACAGATCAAAATCCCTCAGGGCGCGGAGTCTAAGTCCCAGGCTGCCCTTCACCAGGGCCCCTGATGGTGGGGATGGACTTGACGCAGCCAGGAACCAGGTCGCGGCCCCCGAGACACCTCAGTTGCAGTAATGGCCGCCGCCAATGGCGTGTAGCTGGTGGAAAAGGCAATAGAGTAGTCAGGCAGGCCGGGTCGACAACAACGGGACAAAACGGTACAGGACAGCAGGCGAGAATCACAGGTCACGAGCCGGTTCAGCAACAGAGGGTCAGATCAAAGGAGAACACAAAGAATAGTCGAGTCACAAGCCGAGTCAGATTCCAGGAGAGTTACGAGAGTCAGAACAGAGTAATAGCAACACAAAGACACAAGACACAAGTGCAAAGAGCATGTGCGGACCACAGGCTTATATGTCATCAGCCACACCCCTCTGGGGGATGGACCTCAGAGACCTGAAGGCATAAAGGATTCCCACCATGCTCAGCAGAAATCCAAGATGGATGCCAGCACATGGAGTAACATAACCTCTGGGAAAAGGTAGGAACTTGACAACAGCTCCAGACATCCCCAGAGGCGCTACATACACCATCAAGCCGCCCGCAGCCTCTCTTGGACCCCACCTGGTTCCCATGGTGCACGTGTCCATTCTTTCACCTCTTCTTCTGGGGGAGGTGCTGCCCCCCTGAAAAATGCTGCCCTAGGCAAGTGCCTTGTTTGCTTTGTGGTAAATACGCCCCTGTATATAAGATGTCAGCAGGTGACCAGACTCCACTTATAGCTGCAATATCACTTTTACGTGTGGGCCAGTCCTTTCATGAAAGCTAGAAGACTTACTAGGAATTGTTGTGACTTTGTCCAAAGTTTCATCTCCTCCAATACTGAAAGACAAGAACACATTGCAATTAAATAATGCTCACATTTATTTCCAAACAATCTGTTAAAAAAAAGACTGTCCCTGTAATAGCCAATCAGATTCCAGCTGTTCCAAATACCCTCAGTACAGACTTGGCCAAAAGTTTTGAGACTGACACAAATATTAACTAGTTGCCGACCGCAGATAGCCGAATGACGGCTGCACTGCGGCCGGCCAGTTCTGGGTGGACGTCATATGACGTCCTCCCAGAACGCGCTCTCCTGCACCCGACGATCTCCGTGATCACTGTGTCCTACGGACACAGCTGATCACGTGATGTGGTGAAAGGCCAATCACAGCGGCCTTTTACCACGTGATCAGCGGTGTCCAATGACACGCTGATCACAGGGAAATGCAAGTGCCGGTTCTCGGCTGCACTTTCCTCACGCTGTCAGATCGTGAGGAAAGTACTGCCGAGAACCGGCAGTTGTCAGAGCGGGGATCGGCACCGATCATCATGGCACTGATGATCAGTGCCCTGATGATCGGTGCCCAGCAGTGCCACCCGCAAGTTCCGCCCACCTGTGCCCAGCAGTGCGCCCACTAGCTCCGCCCACCTGTGCCCAGCAGATCACCCACCTGTGCCCAGCAGTGCACCCACCTGTGCCACTCTGCAGTGTCACACACCTGTGCCCAGAAGTGCCACCTACCTGTGCCCAGCAGTGCCACCCACCTGTGCCCACCCACCTGTGCCCACCAGTGCCACCCACCTGTGCCCACCCACCAGTGCTGCCCACCAGTGCCACCCACCAGTGCAGCCCAGCAGTGCTGCCAGTCAGTGCCACCAGTCAGTGCCCAGGGGTTGTGCCAGTCAGTGCCGCCAGTCAGTGCCCAGCAGTGATGCCAGTCAGTGCCGTCTATCAGTACCCATCATCAGTGTCACCTATCAGTGCCGCCTATCAGTGCTGCATATTAGTGCTGCCTATCCGTGACACCTCATTAGTACTGCCTATCAGTGCCCTTTAGTGCTGCCTATCAGTGCCCATCAGTGCCGCCTATCAGTGCCCATCAGTGCTGCCTCATCAACGCACATCAGTGAAGGAGAAAAAATACCTGTTTGAAAAATTTTATAATAGAAACAAAGAAACGTTTTTTTTTTTTTTTTTCAAATTTTTTGCACTTTTTTTATTTATAGCGCAAAAAGTAAAGTGCCCAGCGGCGATTAAATACCACCAAAAGAAAGCTCTATTTGTGAGAAAAAAATGATCAAAATTTCATATGGGTACAATGTTGCATGACCGCGCAATTGTCAATCAAAATGCGGCAGCGCTGAAAGCTGAAAATTGGCCTGGTAAGGAAGGGGGTAGAAGTGCCTGGTAGGCAAGTGGTTAATTTACCTGTAAGGAAACCCGTGCCGTCATCATTGCTTTACACAAAAGGGATTCCCAGGCGAGGATATTGCAGGTACTAAGATTGCACCTAAATCAGCCATTTATCGGATCATAAAGAACTTCAAGGAGAGCGGTTCAATTGTTGTGAAGAAGGCATCAGGGCGCCCAAGAAAGTCCAGCAAGCGCCAGGACCATCTCCTAAAGGTGATCCAGCTGTGGGATCGGGCCACCACCAGTGCAGAGCTTGCTCAGGAATGGCAGCAGGTAGATGTGAGTGCATTGGTACGCAGAATGAGGAGAAGACTTTTGGAGGATGGCCTGGTGTCAAGAAGGGCAGCAAAGAAGCCACTTCTCTCCAGGAAAGCCATCAGGGACAAACTGATAATCTGCAAAAGATCCAGGGATAGGACTGCTGAGGACTGCAGTAAAGTAATTTTCTCTGATGAATCCCCTTTCTGATTGTTTGGGGAATCTGGATAAAACCTTGTCTGGAGAAGAAAAGATCCTGTAAGGGACCGCCCAGCGACACCACTAGCACTCCACTGATCAGGCGTCCCCAGCGCACGGAGTCTAAGCCCCAGAGTACTTGTTCACCAGGGCCCCTGATGGTGGGGATGGACTTGGAGTACCCCGGGACCAGGTCGTGACTACTGAGGATACCGTCAGTGGTAGGGGTATTCGCCAGGGGCTCCCACGGGAGAGAGCCTGATATGAGGAGGTCTGGAGACCCCGTTGAGAGGGATGGATGGATGGATGGCTGAACAAGTGCAAAGTCAGGCAGGCCGGGTCGGTAACTATGGAGACGGTGCGGTACAAAGCAGCGGGCAGAGAATAGTCGGGTCACACGCCAGGTCATCAACAGCAGGTCAGGTCAAATAGGGAGCATCCAGGAGAGAGGTCAGGCAAAGCAAGGGTCTGGAGGAGAATACAACAAGGTCAGAGCACAATCCGGGTCAGCAACTTACAAGAAACAGGTTCGCAATACAGGATACAGGATAAGACCAGAAGGCACTGAATGACAGCTCAGGGCCATTTAAATATTCCGCCCTGCGCTGTCATTGGTGCCAGGCGCGCGCCCCGTGGCCTCTACTGCTCATGCACAAGCTCGATCGCCGCGGTCAGCCTGGCCCTAGTGCCCGTGTCCCTGCACAGGGCGGTGCACTGCTCCTGCGCCGAGACCAGCTCCGCGGCGATCCCCGACAGGTCCTGTGTCATGCCAACAGTAAAGCATCCTGAGACCATTCATATGTGGAGTCGCTTCTCAGCCAAGGGAGTGGAGCTCACTCATAATTCTGCCTAAGAACACACCCATGAATAAAGAATGATCCAAAAA